TCCGATCACTTTTGACTGTAGAGACCATCCGACTAGTAGCCGTCATGGAGGTTCGGTAGCATTGGTCCTCTATCCAATCATTGACGGATTCCATCTCACGCGAGTCCTTATGGATGGCGGCAGCAGTCTTAACCTACTTTATCAGGACACTGTCTGAAAAATGGGCATTGATCCCTCAAGATTCAAGCCCACTAAAACCACCTTTAAAGGAGTAATACCTGGCGTAGAGGCCTGCTGCATAGGGTCAATAATGCTGGAGGTAGTCTTCGGCTCACCGGACAACTTCCGAAGCGAAGATTTAATATTTGACATCGTCCCATTCCGCAGTGGTCATCATGCACTGCTCGGACGAACCGCTTTCACCCGCTTCAATGCAGTCCTGCACTATGCCTATCTAAAACTCAAGATGCCCGGACCACGCGGTGTTATAACAGTCAATGGAAACATGGAGCGCTCCCTCCGTACTAAGTAGCATACAGCGGCCCTCACAGCCGAGGTGCAGCGTGGCCTGATCAAGTCGAATACTACATCAGCCATCAAGCCCCCTAACACTTTCAAAAGAGTCCAGTCTACCCTGCAGAATGACAGTACGGTTCATCCAGAACTACATTAGCAATTCGGCCTCCGTCAATACCCCCACTTAATCACAGCATACGTACCGCACGTACATAACTACGCACTAAAAATACCATGGGCAAGGACGGAGGCACACTAAGGACAAAGTCCACAATACGACTCGACCCTATTCGGGCCTTCCTATTCTTCCTTTATTTTCATTCTTCCCTTTTTATTTTTCAGGTTCTTCAAAACCAAAATCACTTTTCGATGGTACCAAGGGCCCTTTTCCAAGCCCCTTATGTATACTCGATTGTTGATCCTCTCAAAGGATCCTACACCAAGGTGAGAAGCGGCGTAGACGTGCGGCAGGGTGTCCAAAGGATCTTCAAAACCACCCTTTCTTTTTTAGGACATGTATACATCTTTCCCTTGTTCTCATATTCTGGGCATGTAAAATAGCCTTAATGATTATGGCATTCTCTGTAAGAGCACGTTTGACGTATCAATCAGACTATAGCTGAAACAGTTTTGTCCAACCATATTCAGTATTGGCTTATTTCATAATCTGTATTCCATCTTCACGACGGATTGACATGCACACCTCCGCATAAAATTGCTAGGGGCTCTATTCGGACACATACATTTTTCAAAAAACGAAAGTCCGAACACTTTTACAGTACATTTTGGCGTCCCGAATACCGCATTATATGCATCAGCTCTGAATCATGTCTTTGGTCAATAGTTGGGTTGCCCGACTCCTGTGGTTACCACCTTACGTTCCGCTTGTTCAGCTAAGGTAGTAAAGGGAGAACTACTGCGATTGTGTTTATGGTTCGTCCGGTCAAACACCTCAGTAGAGAAAGCTGAAAACTGGCTATCATGATATAGCGAGAACTGGTCAACGGTTCGGTGACTTACTAAATATTTTTTGATTTTTTCCGCATTGCACGAAGGACTGGCATCACCCGGTCATGCGCCTAAATAATCCAAGTTTGGAAATCCACACGCGCACTAGGGGCTAGCTCATAGTCCCTTTGTCAAACTCCTATGGCTAAGTGAGAGTGATAAAGCCGCATAGTCTGATTGCATAGTTCGCCGCATGATCACCTCCTTTACGGACCAAGATGTTGGGTCAACAGTGGTCAAGTGCTATTCCGAACACCCCCGTAGTATCTACCTGGGGGCTGAAGCTGACGACTGGCACACTCTTAGATATAAAAATGGCCACACAGGAGGAAAATAATTTGAGATAAACAAACAAGCGTATTATACAAAGGCCTTGTTTCATAACACAAACTCTGGGCAGCTTGGATACATTCATTCAAACATAATATCCTTTGAGCATTGACCCTCTATTAAACGGGCACCCTTCGGTCCCATCCTCGAGGGGGACGGTCCAGCTGATCTGCTTGACTGTACCTTGGAGGCGCTGGCTCTATGGCCTTGTTGTCAAATTACAGCAGTAGTTGTCGATTTGGGTAGCTTTTGGTCTGCTACTTGTGATCGTACTCCTCTTCAGCGTGCAGGACTTTAGTCCATCTCTCATTAAGGGTATCCAATTCGGACTTTATTTTTTGTCGTTGTTTCTTCACGCTTCGTGCGGTGGCAATTAGCTATCGTTTGCACCGCTCTTGATCCAGCGGGGGAGGTAGTTGCTGTCTTCAGAGTCGTCGAGGTATTCGAGATCGAGCTGGTCCTGATGCTCCTCGTGGTTATTTTGTGGTTGTTCATCGGTGTCGGGGTCGTCGAGGTTGTCCGCATTGTTCGGGGTGTCGTTTTCTCCAGTGTCTGTATTGCTCGTATGGCTTTGACGTGCCTTGGAGCGGCGGCGCTGTCTGCGGCGTTTCAGAGGCCTATCGCTGGGTTTGCCGTTATCCTTCCCGGGAGTGCCTTCATATTCTTTCGGGGTGTCCACCATGTAGACGTCATAGGTGGACGTGGCCATCGAAAGGACGGTGACAGGGGAGACATACCGGAGTTAGCCATGGCTCCACTATCCTCGTCCATGTATTCGGCGTTTTTCAAAGTGTAGTCCAACGTGTCTTCGACTCTTCATACTAGGTGGGTCGTGGGCAGGTCATATAATTCCCAATAATTTGCGTCGAGGGGCAGCTGAGTGCGGGATGAGGTCGAGTCGTCTCGAATAGCCATTATCTGTATTCGGTCGAGCGCTTCATTTAACAATGCAAGTCTTGCCGAGCTGGCATATGGCGGCCGCTCGGGATCGGTTTCCGTTGTGCCGGGATGAGGAATGATCCGGGTCCGAACTGGATCCAAGTCTTCCATTGCTGAGTTGACCTTGAGCCCCGGGGTCGGATTTATGTCTGGATAAGCATAAGAGTCCATGGACGAAACCTGGCCTTCGGACGTTGTCTCTGTGTTCGGGATCGAAGCCAAGTGTGTGAGGGGGAGTTCGCCCAGGGATGATTCCTGGTTTCCGAACGACGACCCGTCACAAGGGCTCAAGGATGGAGCCGTGTCATGAGGAGAGGGTTTGCATCAGAGAGATTCTTGTCGTCCGAACACAGCTTCCAGGTTGAGGCCTGAAGCGGAGGCTTCGGCGACATCACTTGTGTGGTTGAAGGGGATTCCTAGCCTCGAGACAGGGTGGAGCCGTCCGAGCTCGAAGCTCGCTGGGGGATTGAGACCGACCTATAGATCGGATCCGAATAAAGCTCCGAAGCAGGAACGGTGAGGCCCGTAGTGGTACTAGGAGAGGCTGCGAATCCAGTGAAAACCAGATCGCCTCGGGCGTCCACGAAATACTCCAAGTTGCCGAATTGAATCCAGTTCTCCGGGGAAAAATTGTTCACTTGGTCTAGATGACCGGTTGGGTTGGCGTGCGGCACGACACTGCCGAACGTGAACAGCTGACTGGGAAGAAATCCCCGGAGCTGACGCCATCTCTGATGGTCAGGTGAGCCATCGATCCTTCGGCGACCCAACAACAGAACTCTCACTGAAAGCACTAATGTCGGTGTCAGAACCGGCGGATCTCGGGTGGTCTCGAGCTGTGGATGTAGGATCAATGGGGAACAAGGGACAAAGAACACGATGTTTACGCAGGTTCGGGCCCTCTCGAAGAGGTAAAACCCTGCGTCCTTCTTCATTGTATTTGATGTGTATGATATGGTTACACAGTCGATCTACCTCGAGATCAGGAGAGACCTAGGTGAATGGTGTATTGGATGTAGCTCTAGCACTAAAGACTAAAACCCCCCGGGTTTATATAGACACCAGTAGGGTTAGGGTTATAGGTGATCGGTAATAATGAAGGAAAGATCACGCTGATCCTTGACTTGGAGGACACACCACGACTCCAAAGATCACCTATCCGTCCATAGCGATCCATCAATCCGGCCCATATGTAATAGGTCGACGGCCCGAGGACCCCTTGATCCAGGACTCTCTCACCTCCCACTTATGATTAAACCCTCCCACAAGCATCCGCAAATACGAAAGAAGAATGAAGATAAATGTAAACATAGCAGTAAACAAGTGGATCCAAAACAGCCCCTTACAAAGCAACACATAAACTAGGGTTTAAACTTCTGTAACTCTAGCAACCCATCATATTATTTTCAGATCTATTATTCCAAAAACCTAAAAATACGTTGCTACACTTTTCTATATTTGCTTTGTTTTGTGTTTTTGTCAGATCTATTTATCAAATCTCATAAAATTTTATCTATCTCAATACCGACAAGGGATTAACAACCCCTCTTACGCGTTGGGTTGCAAGTATTTGTTATTTGTGTGCGGGTGTTGTTTACATAGTGTTACTTGGTTCTCCTGCTGGATTGATAACCTTAGTTTCATTACTGAGGGAAATACTTACCGTTGTTGTGTTGCATCATCCTCACCTCTTCGGGGAATTACCAACGCAGATACAAGCAATCACGTGACCCCTCGGTCGGTGGAGCTACTTTCTAGTGGGTGAGCTCATTGCAGACATGCCAGAATCGCCACATGGTCATCGAAATCACCACACTCGTGACAAAAAGATGTTACAGTGCTTCAAGTAAAAAAGAACAGTTGAAGAACCCCATATCATATAGCCAAAAAGACAATTATATGCACCGTAAGAAACTTTCACGTGTTCATTCATTTCTTGGTTCATTAGTGTGATTTGATATCAATTGATCATATGACTACAATTGGTTAAAATACATAGAGCCAACAATAATGTTATCTGAAACCCCACATCGACCTTGACAGTGTGCCCTTGTCTGGAAATGAACTGGAATATATCATAGTTGTAGATTAGAAATTCGAACTAAGTTACATGCTCACCAGCACAGTTTTTCTTTCACTTAAGCCAAAAGGAATAGAAAAATACAGTAACATCCATGTGAGATGTCACTACTTGTTGATTTTTGAATGGTTGCCCACTGATGTAGTTACCCTCTGTTTACTGCCGTCATCTTGCAAATGTTGCATAATTAGCTGCTGCTCCCAGTGATTTCGTTGTATGTGCTCTTGATGTTGCTGATCAGAGCTTCCCTGGAACGCATAGAAGTACTAGAGGTGATAAGAACCTGACAAGAAATCTAGTTCCTTTTTGTGAAAGTATGAATCTATGAAACGATCAATTTCCTCACAGTAGGTTTTGGGATTGGATAGCATATATGTTTTCCATAAATAGCGTCTTTTTATTAACTCATAGTGAAGCATCAAGGAAATACAAAACACGATAAGTAAGCACCCGGCCTCCGCATAACCAAGATGCACACAGCTAACACCAACACACACATCAAAATCACACCAGCAAAGCAAAGCAAAGCCAAAGAAGGCTGAAGCTATGCCTAGGCAAATTGAAAAACAAAGAGAAAGGGGAAAAAATAGTGACGATCCATGTTGAGTAGACATTGAGGCAACGAAGATTACGAAGGAGCACACGATCCGAATGCCATAACCATGCAAACTGAAACTATGCACACACTAGGCAATCAATTGCCGTTTATGGAGCCAGGAACGTTCGTGTGGCTCCAGTCACATCATAAACTCGTGAGAAGAGACTGTGTATCAAAATCTCACACTAGAGACGATGTGGCGATAACACGCCTCAAACACTAGTGAATGTCGGAAGTAAATCTAGGCATGGCCACAACCACCTAGACAAAACACCACGCATTGTCACTGCGCGCCATGGCGGCGACCTACTGCTTGTTGGCCAATAAGCCACGGCGGGAATGTCCAGTGCGCATGTGTGCGCGTGCTGGGCGTGTCAGGCGCTGGTTGTGGCCGCACCAGGTCTATGGCATGCGTGTGTGCGTGTGTATCTCGCCATTGTCTGACCATGGTCCGACTAGTGTCCAGGCTGGGCATAGTCTGGGTAGCACCCGAGTAGCATCCGTATGTTGGATGGTCTGGGCATAGTCCGACTTAAGTCTGGCTAGTGTATAGGCTAGGTGTGTGTGTGTGCGTGTGTGTCCACGCGTTCGAGCGCATGGGTCGTTGCGTGTAGGCGAGATGCTAGGAGGGGTGACCGCGTCAGGCGCTGGACTCGGGATCACGGCGACTGCGTTCGTGCGCGTTGGGCACGTGATCTAGGGAGCACGGGATGTGGAGGAGTGCGTGCGTCGAGTGCGTAGGAGCGAGGCGTGGCGCGGGTATAAAGCCTGCTCCAGACTCCTGTGTAGCTAGCCTGGGGTGAACTGAGTTCGTGCTCAGGGAAAAGAAAGACACGGCGTTCGTGCGGCGGGCGGAGTACGTGCTCCGGGAAACACCTATGTCATGTGTCCTTCTTCTTCCTTCACCTTCCTCTTCGTTGTGTCAGTGAGAGAACGAGCGGGAGGTGCAGCGAGAGAGAGGAAGACAGAGGCCGCGGCAACAACACTGCCACCTCTGGAATGTCCCAGTCAACCACACGAGCACTACCGCCACCACCTCCTTCGGTTCGCCACGCCACCGTGATGGATCACCGAAGTCCACCGCCACACACCGCCTTCATGCCTCAGCCACCCAAGTAAGGTCCATAGAGAGGCCAACTGCAGTGCATGCCTCACCAACAACCACTGGTCCCACCAGTCGGCACCAACTCCAAAACGATGCCCCCAAGAGGGTAGCACGACACATATGTGATGCCATCGTCCGGCTCAAGGACCTAGTGTTTCCACTGAGCGGTATCACTACTCCCTTTGTTTCTAAATATAAGTCCTTTTGGAGATTTCAGTATGGACTACATACAAATGTATATAGACATATTTTACAGTGTATATGCAATCACTTTGCTTTGTATGTAATCCATATTGGAATCTCTAAAAAAAGACTTATATTTAGGAATGGAGGGAGTAGACGGGAAGAACCACAACTCTGGTGCCTTCATGAAGGTAACAACACTCATCGACTTTCGTCGACGTTCTCACCTTCCAACCCCTAAGCAGGTTGGTCCACCAAACTTACCGTCGATGTCTAGCCCATTGCCGCTGTGAAGACTAGACGTCATCGGCCTTATCACCACCATGGATGACCACCACAACCATCCACATGCACCGAGAATAGCTAAAGGACCATCACCAACGACCGCCGCCCTAGAAACCGCGAGTCATGATGGACCTCAGCCCACTAGGCTCCCACCGTCGAGCGCACCAGGCCGTCGGGCGCCGATGCAAATCGCCCTAAGCCGCCACCTATGCAGGCAGAGTCGAGGTCACTGACACCCATGCCAGATCTAAGCAGGAGGGTCGGATAGCATATGGAAATAACTTACAACCCGCTCCCCCGTGTCGCTCCGACGAGCAGTCTGGGAGCAATCCGTTGAGATGACGGTGGTGGACGTCACCGGGTAATGCCCGTGAGGGGTCTCTTCCTGCTCTCGCTGAGATGACGGTGGCGTGGGATGCTGGATCTAACGAAGGAGCGGTCTGCGGGGTGGGCGCTCAGGCGTGCAGGCTTGCGTGGAATGGTGTGGAATGGCGCGGTCATGTTGCCCACGGTGTGGAGGGTGTTGAGATGTATATTGCATGTGTATTTCTTGTACAACAAGTCTTCCTTCCTTGTATAGTTGAGGACAAGACTCCCTTTGTACCTATATATATACGTGCATACGCACTCGATGAATATATCGTGAGTTGCACCAATTGTCTACATGGTATCAGCCTAACTTGTTCCTCCCTCGCGCATCGCAACCCTAGCCGTCGCTGCGCCCTACCCCGCCGCCCTAGCTGCCATCGCGCATCTTCCCGCTGCATCGCCGCCCTAGTTGTCGCTGCATCTCACGCACACTCCCGCGCCGCTCCCTCCTCAACCGCGCCATCCCTCTGGTTCCCAGCCGCGCACCTCCTCTTCCTAAGTCGCGCGTCGCTCCTTCCCTGAACCCCAGCCACGTCGCTCTCGCCTCCCAGCCGCGTCGCTTCTTCCCCAAAAACCTAGCCTGCACCCGCCTCATCCCGAGCCCCTCCTCCACTGCTGCCATGTCTCACTCCAGCCACTCCCACCGCAGCAACCCGTTCGCCTCCTCCTCCAAGGCCGGTTCTCTCCCCGACCCGGCCTACATCCGTGACGTCGCGATCTTCGATTGTGTTCCGATCAATCTATCCCACACGGAGGCCAACTTCTATGCATGGAAAACCTACTTTAACCTCCTCTTCCGTGAGTACAACCTCCGTGACCACATCGACGGCACCACCGACTTCCTCGCCATGCGTCGCGATGAGGATTGGATGGCGGTTGATGCCACCATCATCCAGTGGCTCTTCCTCACCGTGTCTAAGGACATCTTTCACACTATTGTTCGCGACGGTGACGATGCCTACTCGGTGTGCACGAAGATCATTGGCCTCTTCACCGACTATAAGCTCCAACGGATCGTCTTCTTGCAGCAGGAGTTTTTTGGTTGTCACCAAAACAACTCCTCCATCGACGCCTACTGCATGCGCCTCAAGACCCTCTCCGACGAGCTCAACGACGTCGGCTTCAAGGTTGGGGACGAGTTCCTCCTCTCCACCCTCATAGCCAACCTCAACGAAGATCTCGGTAATGCCGCGTCCAATCTTACTCTTATGGCTAACCCTACTTATGAACGGGCGGCGGCCTACCTACGTCTTGAGGAGCGTCACCTGAAGAATTTGCGAGCTCGTGCGGTCCATACCGCTTTCTCCGCTGGCTACTCCAATGGCGGGTCTTCATCAGCACCTCCCGCCAGGGGTGCCGGCGCCCCGCTGCCTCCGCAGCCTCCCCCGTCGGTGCCTCCAGCACCCGCTGGTGCGGGTGGCTACGGTGCCCCCTATGGCGCCCTTCTGCCTCGGCCACCCGCACCCATCCCCCCGCCTCCACACCAACAGCAGAATTAGGGCGACAGGCGCGACCGTGGTGGCCACCGTGGCCGTGGCAACCGCTCCAAGAATGGCGGACAGTAGCACGGCGGTGGTCAACAGCAGCAGCTCCCCTCGCCACCTTGGGGCACCGGTCACAATCCCTGACCGGTGTTGTACACGCTTACACGATGTCGGTGCCCCGCGCTCCACTCCCGGGTCTTCTCGGGCCTCGGCCGACGGCTCACCAGGCCTTCTCCGCGGCCACCCAGCTTGGCGCTCCAACACCGCCGCCTCCCCCTACCTCGCACCGTTCGGCTATGGCGCGTTGAACCCTAGTGTAAGGGGTGACAGGGTTCTCTGGCTACCCCATGCCGCTGGTCTCCTACGACCCAGCTCTGTTCTCGGCGCTGCAGTACACGCCTCAGCCCGGCTCCTACACCGGCGATAGCGACTGGTTCATGGACACCGATGCATCATCTCATATGACAGCCTACCCGGGTAACCTTTCCTTTGCGTCTCCCGTTCACACCTCTTCTCGTATCATCGTCGGTAACGGCGCTGGTCTTCCCATTACTCTTGTTGGCTCTACTCCTTTTCCTTCTACGTCTAGGCCTTTTTCTCTTAATAATGTGCTCGTGTCTCCTCAACTTATTCAGAACTTAGTCTCTGTTCGTAATATTTCCCGTGATAATTGTGTAACTGTCGAATTTGATGAAGTTGGTTTCTCTATTAAGGACGCCTGCACCCGGATGATTCTTCACCGATGTGATAGTCCTGGCGACATGTACCCCGTCCAGCCTTCATCATCTTCGCGTGCTGGACCTCTTGCTCTTTTCGCCGGTGTTGATCTTTGGCACGCCCGTCTCCGTCATCCTAGCTCCATTGCACTTCGTCAAATAGTCAAGGGTTTTTCCTTTTCATGTAATAAAGTGGATGCTCATTCTTGTCAAGCATGCCGCATGGGCAAACATGTTAGACTCCCATTTAGTTCTTCTTCGACAATTGCTTCTTATCCTTTTGAATTAATTCATAGCGATGTGTGGACGTCACCTATCATGAGTAACTCTGGTTTTCTATACTATCTTGTTATTCTAGATGACTACTCTCACTTTGTGTGGACTTTTCCGCTTTGTAGGAAATCCAACGTTCCTGCCACTCTCCTCGCTTTTTATTCCTACGTGTCTACACAATTCGGTCGTCCCATCCATGCTCTTCAAACTGACAATGGGAAGGAATTCGATAACA